CCCAAAGCAGCCACTGAATGTGAGAATAAATGATCTGGTGAGCAGGATGACTCTTGCTGAAAAGATCGGCCAAATGTCACAGATTGAACGCAAAAATGCTTCTGCTGGTGTTATTGAGGGCTACTTCATAGGTAAATAAACCCAGCCCTTTGACACCAAACAAATGTTTTACAAAGTTGAAAATAGGACAGGTTTCTCAAAACTTGACCATGAACTTAATTTGCAACTCTTTTACTAGAGAGAGCTACCGTGAATCTTTTTTTTTTTAAGACTAAACTACCATGCCTGACAAAGTGCGAAACGCGACATGTTGTGCACATTTTTTATCCGTGTGAACCTTGTGGGGATTCACAGTAAGATGGTGTGTTTTATGTTGGTGCAGGCAGTGTGTTGAGTGGGGGAGGCAGTGTGCCTGCTCATCAGGCTTCACCTAAGACATGGGTGGACATGGTGAACGGAATGCAGAAGGCAGCTCTGTCTACAAGACTCGGTATACCCTTGATATACGGTATCGACGCAGTTCACGGGCACAATACGGTCTATGGAGCTACGGTGTTCCCACATAATGTTGGACTTGGAGCGACCAGGCGAGTCTAAAATCCTCTCAGGAGTGTCATTTTCGCACTATTTTTTTCGATCAAAACGATCTCGCCTAAGGAAAGTTTTTGGGAGTATGAACTTCATTATCATACATCCGCAACGATTGCGGCTTAATGGGTTAAAATATTGGGTTAAAGACTTCTTAGAGAAACATTAGGTAAACCTTGGGTGCTGATCTGACTTCAAAAGGATCATTTACTGATTTCGACAACTCAACCCACATCATCAGTGGCACACTAATCAGAATCAATCAACTTATGGCAGTCTAAAATCTTTTTCATCATCCTTAATTGTTGTTTTTTTTTTCTCTCATAGGGATCCAGCACTTGTGAAGAAAATTGGCGCTGCGACTGCTCTTGAAGTTAGAGCAACAGGCATTCCTTATGTTTTCGCTCCGTGCATTGCGGTAATGCAAACATCAAAATTAGATATATTGCCTAAAGTAGTTTTCCCCCCACTTTCATATCTAAATTACGCTTTCATCTTTTCTTCGTTTGAGCTTGTTCAGGTCTGCAGAAATCCGAGATGGGGCCGCTGCTATGAGAGTTACAGTGAGGATCCAAAGGTTGTCCAAGCCATGACGGAGGTTATTTCAGGTTTACAAGGAGAAATCCCTGCAAATTCTCGTAAAGGAGTTCCTTTCATTGGTGGGAAGTAAGAGCCACATTTTTACTCTATTGGTTAACATTAGTAAAGATCTTATATCATCAAATCTAGATAAGAAAAGTTAGATGGATATATGGTTAAATTTGTTTGGACTCATGGCTCAATTAAGAATTAATCCTTCGCATTATGCTGCATCCAAGTAGATGATTAATCTAGTCCATCTGCGATCATGGGCCTATCCATTCAAGACCATTATAATTGGAAGTACTGAGTGTAAGTCCATAAATTGTTTGAACTTAATATAACCATTGGCTAGAGAAAATTCCAACTGCCAGGTATGTTGATCTCTAAGATTTCAGTACAACTAGACACTAAGCCTTTTCAAAATCTAAGTTCTTTACGTGGTCCTCCTATATAAGCAAGGAAAATGTGTAAATTCTTAGCCATAGTCAACAAGCCAAATTGCAAGACAAATTGACTATTTCCCCCCCTTATGTATAGAATATGCATATTTGTGTTCTATAACACACGACTTTTGATTTCATAACCTTCAACCTTTTATCGAAATTTCAACAACAGTATCGTGCACAAAATCGGAATAGCTAGGCATTTCTCACCAAGCTCGTGTTTTTAACCATTTGTCTTAATATTTGATGAGGATGGCATTTTATTTCGTATCAGTTTGTTTCATACAAAGACAAAAATATTTACCAATTTCCTAAAGTGTACGCGACGAATATGAACTTTTGTATGCAGGAAAAATGTTGCTGCTTGTGCTAAGCATTACGTAGGCGACGGAGGCACGGACCAAGGCACGAACGAGGGGAACACGATCACAGATACCCATAGATTTCTAAGCACCCATATGCCTCCTTACTATAACGCCGTCATCAAAGGAGTCTCCACTGTTATGGTCTCCTACAATAGCTGGAACGGAGTTAAAATGCACTCGAACAAATTTCTGATCACTGACTACCTCAAAAAGACTCTCCGGTTCAGAGTTGGTCCTTGATTCTATTTGTGTAGCGATTTCTGATTTAAATGTCTTGTTTCCCATAATAAAATCATTTATAAATTAACGTGCAGGGTTTTGTGATTTCGGATTGGCAAGGTGTTGATAGGATCACCACGCCAGAGAAAGCAAATTATACGTATTCGATCGAGACTGGTATCAATGCTGGTATCGATATGGTTAGCATCTTAGTACCTCTGCTCAGGCCTTTTCTAAAATTGTTGGTCCCCATGAAAACGTTGCGTCACAGAAGGAAAAGGAAAACCATAAGAAAAGGAGTATAGCTGGGTCAAATTAAATTCTGTGGAGGTCAAAATGCACAAAACAGTGCACAAGACATGAAGTTCCTTGACCTTAACACTTAACATATCGCGTTTTTCTTCCCGTGTATCATCAGATAATGATTCCCTTCGACTACCCGGGGTTCGTAGAGAACATGAAGTTCCTCGTCAACAACAACTTCATCTCCATGAGCAGGATCGATGATGCTGTCAGAAGAATTCTCCGAGTTAAGTTCACCGCAGGCCTCTTCGAAAACCCCTATGCCGACCTCAGCTTAGCCGATCAAATAGGCAAGAAGGTAAACTTTTGGCCCTCCAATATCCTTGCAAGTTTGGCTGAACTGTACTAGTCATGCATGCTAATATATATCTTGAGATTGTTGATGCTTGCTTGGTACAGGAGCACAGAGAGCTAGCAAGAGAAGCTGTGAGGAAATCTTTAGTG